ATCAAAAGTGTTTTCTAGTCGAGATCAGCCTTTTGAACAAAAAAAAAATCGAAAAAAAAGACCTTTCCAAAAAGTGGATGGGTCTCCATGGATTCACCCATAAATTATTTGTTGTTTCAGTCATTTGACGAACAAATTGAAGTTTTTCATTGGTATTTAAACATTAAACAATTTTATTACCATCTTCTATTGAATTCCATAAAATTCGTTGAAATATTTTATCAGAAACTTTTAAATAACTTGGTTTAAATTGTTTGACATAGTTGATTGATAATAATTCATTGTCTTCTTTTTGCTTTTTCTGTTGCTGTTGTTGTACTTTTTCATTAGCATCAGTGACTATATTCGATATTTAGTTATTCGATGAATTATTTCTCGTTATTGACTTTGTCTTTTTTAGATTTCTTTATGATATTGATAATTGACTGGAAGATCGACTGATTTGTATATCCTCTTCATTAATTTCTTGCCGTTTACGTTTAGTTTCTAATCCTGTTCTATGTTGATTGTGCTGTACATTTTGCTAAATAGAATAAAGAAATACACATGGAGAAAGAATTCTTTCTGCTTTCAAAAACAATTAGTGTACTTGAATTAGCTGTTCTTCACCATCTTCTTCTGGATTGTCATTAGTATCATCTACCACAATTAAATACCTTGATCCGTATGATTTGTAGTAGTATTATTCTGTTTTTGTTGTTGACGGTGTAGTTTGCGTCGTTGATGTTGTTGTTTTCGATTACCATGGCATTTTTTCTTCTTTGCCAACGACCTTGAGTATCTTGTAATAAGCCATTAGGATGAATAATATTTGAAGGATCGTTGCTCTGAGCCATTCAATTATAATGTAAACAAAAAATAATTGATTTAAATCTAGAAAACAAAACGGAAACATGTTTATGTTTAGATTCTTTCAAATATAATAATTTCATATGATATTATAAAAATAAAATAAAAAAAACAGCAAAACATCACAAGTTTATTTCAATACAATATATTAATTCTATTATATATATATGATTCAACTTCAACGATCATCTGATGACTTTGAAGACCAGTCGTTGGGTTTTTCATATATGACTATATCAACTCCTGGTAGTACGAATGATGGAACAATGGCTGCTATTGCTCTTCGTATTGTAGAAGGCAGATTGATTGATATGACTGAGTCGCAACCTATTGGTGGTGCGAATGATACGTGCGTAGAAGTATCTTGAAGACTTGATGTTTTTGATTGAGATGAGGTAATCGAATTTTGTTCAATGTTCATATCTGTTTAAAGAGCTGAATTATAAGTATGCATGCATATTACAAATAAATTCATGTTTAAATATTTTACTTCTCTATTTAGCTCTTTTATCAATAGTGAATATAATAGGACAATATATTTGTTTATGTGCAATGATATAACAATGTATCTAGAAAAAGAATAGATAACTGTAGGAACTATAGAATACAATGAATATATGTACAATAGTAGAAGAAACAAAATGACAAAAAACAGATAACATAAAGAAAAAAACAACGTTGTTATCGTTTGAACATCTACACTGTAGCTTAACATTATCATCAGAAGAAATATTATAATACATATGAAAAATATAATTACAAATGTGATGAAATAGATCATTTCCTTTTGTATCACTCTGTTGCTTGTGGCCATGGTAAATCAATAATGATAAGAGTATTCATTGGATTGTAATCATCTAAATAATCTATGAAACCATCATTTTCTTCTTCTTTTTCTTCTACAATTTCTGATGTTGCTTGATTGTCTTGTTTTTGTAATGCTATTTCTTGTTCTTCTCGATACTCTTGTATTTCACGACCACCATTTGTTTGAGTATGCGAATTGGAATCATACACTTATTGTTCAATCTGAAATGTCATGAATTTAAGAAGAAAATATTCAATGAAATTGCTTTTTTTTCTCTATCTTATAAATCTATACCTTACATCGTGGAATTTTAACATAACGCTTCATACAATCAAACAAAACGATCTTCACATCTCTTGTTCGAAATGTTGATTGTAACTCTTAACTTCATTTTCATTTGTTGTCAATGATGTTCTCATAGCATGATTTGATGACTGAGATGATTGCTGAAACAAGAGCGAATATAGTTACTTGGTATCATGTGTTTTTTTGATCAGTTACTTCAGTTAAGAATTGTTGATAGTGATCATCACTCTTACATGTTCGACTGGAGTCATCTAAAGAGAATTAGAAACGGAGATCCATTTAGACTTGATAGTTAAATATTCAATACCATTAGGAACGACTAATTGATGTTGTTCTTGTGATCCACCAGACATAGTTTCGGGAGTGAGATGATTGTTTTAGAAATGATATCTAAAAGAAACCGAGAAAGAAAATTTATTCTACTGAATTATAAACAACAAGTTCTTCGAAAATTTCTAACAATGAAAAAGTTACATGTTTCTTTATTTTATATTTATTTTCGACAATATGTATCATACACAAAAAAAAACAAAAATATACATAAACAATTACAAAGATGATCAAAGAGTTTAATGTCTTTTCCCATCGTTGATGTTCTCCCATCTAAACAAGTATTGAAAAGAAATATTACTAAGATAATATCAGTTATCCCAACTTCATTTACTTATATTTCTAGTCGATCAAGTTTTAATACCATCACTAATTTAGTCACTGCCAAGCAATCGTTAACAGCATATCGAATCATTTGTTGAATGATTTTATTTTCTATAAAGTTCATTACAGAAAATCTATTATCATTGTTTATATCAAGATTTCGACTCCATCTACTTTTCGTCTGACTTTTATCGAAGAATTCATGACATGTATAAGCTACAGCCATTTGAAGTGACCATTTATGATGAAAGTTTTCGATGGATTGCTGCGTATATGCGCGTAGTCTTTTATTAATATCTAACGGAAGACGAATACGTACATGTTTAAATTTTCTACTGTACCATTTTTTAAAGAGTTTTTGTATGTCTATATTATTTGTTTGTTCGAGTTGGTCAGATGAAAAAAGTCTACATGAAATAAATTTATTCAATTCATTCTTGACATCACCCCATGAATATATACAGGTGGATGGATTGAAGATCATTTTCAGAAGTGATCTTATTAACCAAAATATCACTGATGTTACTTGTGGTAAATGATGTATTTCAATTAATAATACGATGGGGTGGGCGTGGGTGTGGGTGTGGGTGTGGGTGGGTGTGGATGAAGACAAGGTCTATACTCACACCCACACCCACACCCACACCCTCAAGCTTATTAGTAGTAACGGTATTATTGTCCTATTATACTGATATCTTTTATATCTTGACTACACATATTCTCATGCAGACCAAACTTATATCACTAATATGACATTTAGTACTGATTAAAATCTCAAAGTTTAAAGATAATTTAATGCTTCCTATCGACAATGTGAATTGTTTGACGTAACAAATAAACATTATAAACCAATGTGAGTGTAGGTGTAGATGTCTAATGAATAATACATCCACATCTACCTTTCTATTCGCAAAGCTATTGATTTTGGGGTCAAAGGCAGATTTTTTTAGGAAACTACAAGATCGATCTCGATTCATTCGTAAAACACAGCGCTTTGAACAACGATGAACTAAATATGGAAGATCAATTAGTGAAAGTTCGAACTCAGTTCAAAAACTACGGTATGACCAAATTTCGGCTCAATAGTCGCTTTCTTTTTACTCCATTTCTGCTTTGATCGAAATAACTTTTTCATCTAATGGATCTTATGCGTCAATCATTCGTTACAGATGACTTTTTCTTGTAAGATACCTTGATAAGTTAACAACGGAAATGATCTCCCTATAGTTACGGCGTTAGGAAAAAATTTTTGATGATGAATTATTCTAGAGCTTGGCTTGATTTCGAGAAACCTCACTTTAGGGTAGTCTAATTTGTGCTGATAAGGGTATAGAGGTTAAGGCAAAGACATAGAACTTCATTTGTGGCTTCGATTGGTTCGGCTGTAGTTGTACATTATACTGTACACTGCCATGTCCCTGGGATGCACGCTTGTTACGTCACGGATACCATTGTAAAGGTCAGTATATAGTCGTTTAAGATCATTTAAATGGTGCACCAGAGTATCAGAGAATAAAGATTGCTACGCAGAACTAATCTTTAGAAGAAATCAGAACTACATCTGTATAGAACTAAAAAGACGCTTTTTCGCAAAACGACCCTGAAGGTTCCGTGTTTTATTCAATAGTATAACTCTGGAAAATGTTCTGCAAACCTTCATTGTTTCGTAGAGGAAGCTAGGAACTCTTGCGTTCTGACGGTTGTTCTTAAATTATGATTCCTAAAACTTTTTATTCTGCACAAAAAACTAAAAATCATTCTCGTAAAACCAGAATATGTTGTAGACAATATAAGTAGGCTAATCATTAAATAATGAAAGGAAAGGCCAATAGGAATAGCGCACTTGGTATCTGAATTCAATTTCTATTACTTGAGAACAATCCAACTACTTTGAAGGGCTTCTCTGTAATTTTAAAGTATTTTGGTGTATTTCAAACTATTCTTTATTTAATTTTACTGTGCTTTCTGGTATATGAAATTCGCCATTTCTGCTACGAAAAAAGACTCCCAAAAAACGAGTGAAAAATGCTAATCAAAAATGTATACAAATGGTGAGTTGTAGATATTACTTCAACATGCACCAATAGTTTTAATAAAACCATTACAACATGTCTGAGTTGCCGTAGAGTATCCTTGACCATCACAGCATGCATTACCAGTTTTAATGAAACCGTTACAACATGTCTGAGTTGCTGTAAAGTATCCTTGACCATTACAACATGCATTACCAGTTTTAGTGAAACCATCACAACACGTCTGATTTGCCGTAGAGTATCCTTGACCATCACAACATCCATCACCAGTTTTAATAAAACCGTTGCAACATGTCTGAGTTGCTGTAGAGTATCCTTGACCATCACAACATTCATCACCAGTTTTAATGAAGCCATCACAACACGTCTGATTTGCCGTAGAGTATCCTTGACCATCACAACATTCATCACCAGTTTCAATAAAACCGTTACAGCATGTCTGAGTTGCTATGGAGTATCCTTGACCATTACAGCATGCATTACCAGTTTCAATAAAACCATCACAACACGTCTGATTTGCCGTAGAGTATCCTTGACCATCACAACATTCATCACCAGTTTTAATAAAACCGTTACAACATGTCTGAGTTGCTGTCGAGTATCCTTGATCATCACAGCATACATTACCAGTTTTAATGAAACCATCACAACACGTCTGATTTGCCGTAGAGTATCCTTGACCATTACAGCATGCATTACCAGTTTTAATAAAACTATTACAGCATGTGTGAGTGGCTGTAGAGTATCCTTGACCATCACAACATGCATCACCAGTTTTAATAAAACCGTTGCAACATGTCTGAGTTGATGTAGAGTATCCTTGAGGGGTGTGGGTGGGTGGGTGTGGGTGTGGGTGTGTGTGTGTGGGGTGTGGGTGTGAGTGTGGGTGTGGGTATCAGCCTTCCATTCGTCCTGACTCAAACACCCACCCACACCCACACCCACACCCACACTCACACTCACACCCACACCCACACCCACACCCACACCCCAAAACACTAAAAATTTAAATGTTTTAATTTTTAATTGCATATAAATATTGCAAAAGAATTGAATGCAAAATTTTTATTTTAGATGCGTAATTACTATTGTAAGTAAGAGAAGACTATTTCGTAGAACAAATGGAAAGTCATTCCTTCATATCTTGACAGTTTCGTGACTTTATATTCATTCTTCTTCAAATTTAAATATTTAAGAAGTTCTTCTTTCTCATCCTGTAAACTATAAACAAGAGTCATAAGAACTTTACTAGGAAATTTGAGAATGACTGTTTATTTTACTATGTTTAACCTTAGAAAAGAATGTTTAAAAGTCAGCTATTTAAAATTTTTATAGAAATTGTTTTCCATATTGTATTCTGAGAGTATTTTTAATATCTTGTCAATGTTCATTCATTTTAATAGATGTTGTTTTGTATCTTGTCTTATTCAACGATCAATTTCAATAGTTCCAAACAATTCTATACTAATTTCATCACTCATATGCATTTGTATCGCAGGCAGCGGTCTATCTGATTTTTATTTAACACAAAATTTAGTTCAAATTTGTCAAGCAATTCCAGCACCAATCGATATTATTGAAAAATCATCTTCATTTTTCAGTCTTGATCGAGGGTGTGGGTGTTTCACTTGATCATTCTGAAGTAAAAAATATTATACAAATATTTACAAGAATAGCTGAACATGAACATGTGAAAGAACTATAAGAATTTTATCATACTATTTGCCTATAGTTCATCTATTGAGCGTAGTTTAAATATTCCTAATGAGACAACATGAGAAAATGTCTTTTTCTGTTAAGGGTGTGCGTGTGGAAGAACAGAAGGTTCACCCATACCCACACCCACACTGACATCCACATACACCCACCCACACCGCACACCCACACCCTTACTATTGTGATACCGGGACGTAACGAAAATGAGAGATGAGATGATGTTCTCTTTCGTTACTACTACATTGTGTATTTTATTGTGATTAATAATGATAAAGTGGAGGAGTAGCGTTACCGCCACCCTCGGTATAGATGTTCACTGCACTACTCGATCACTCCAATTGTGTCTACTTCATATAGAACAGAACCCTATATACCAGAGAGCGAACAAAGAAGGAGAGAGAAGTGAAAAGAAAGGAAAAAGTGAATAGAGGGCAATGTGAGTAGGCACCTATTATCGTTTATGAGTTCAGAGTGTCTAGCCACATAGTGACCAAATGCTCCCACATCATTCAACCAACAGAAGATGACCATATATCATGTCCTTATTATTGGCATACTGATGACTATTAATATTTCAATAAAATAACACGAAATGCATTAGCAAATTTAACTCTGCATTTCTTTAAATATTTCTAATCAAGCCAAAAAAATTTATTATTCTGTTGTTATTTATGTTTCAAAATGAATCGATTGGTGAAAAGCAAAAGTTGAGATTAGCAGATTGAACTTGTCTTTTCTTTAAAAGCTAAGTCTTTCTGTTTTTGACTCATTTACTCACACATCAAACTATATATTTTATTGAGAAAAGACAAAAAAAATTAGTATATTA